CGGAGGCGGCAACTGAGCGAACAAACACCTAACAAGAACATGGAGACGTATACCACAAGGAAAGATGTTCGCGCCCTGCAAAGACTATAATGCAGCTCGAACACAAGCGGCGAGTTACACAAGAACGGGACGGTTTATACGTCCTTGCGACTCATTTATTTGCCGTGTTTAACAAAACGAGACTCACACACACATGCACGTGAACCAGTTAACAGCGTTCGCAAAAAGGTTGAAGGCGATTGTCGGTGCGTTTCTCACGGGCCGATGAGGGGGGGGGGAGACGGCAAGGAAGGAGATTATGAAGAGAAAACAAGCAAAAGCACCGGATACACGGCGGCTAAGTGCAGGTGCCACTGGGGAAGAGCGGGGAAGGTCGAGAGTCGAGTCAGTGCCTCTCGAGAACGCTACAAGCGGAGCGACGGCTAAGAGGCATGAAGTCAGACCCTTGACAGCTGTTACCATTGTCAAGCACCTTTACGATTTTAAAAATACTAAGATTTGGCGTTAATAGTTTTCAGAGAATTCGAACGATTGTTCGTAGTTGTATACTGGTAGTTAATGTTTATTTGAGAACAGGTGTACGTAAACTTCTAATTTTGAGAAGTGGAAGAATTCCAACCGTGAGATAAGAAATTGTATTTTCACAACTGAAAAGGGGTCTTGACTTACATATAAAATAGTTCTTTCTATAGAATACTGCCAAACACCACACGAAAAGCTTTTGTTTCAAGTTCCATAGGAAAAAAACCATTTTTTGAGCAATAGGTTCTATAAAGTCAGTGACTGGTAGCAGTTTTAACTCTAATGTTTATTATAAAAATTCGACTCCAAGATATTATCGAATGTCTTAAAATTAAACAAAATCACGAGATGAAGCACATTTACTAATCTGTTGGCCAACAGCGACTTGATTCAAAATTACAAAAAATAAAGCAAAATTATTATCATTATCAGAAAATACACACGCTCTAATGGCACCACGTTTATACTTTCAAACCGGACTCGTGTCGAGTTATAATTTATGTAAACGAAACAAAACACTTTGTTCAGTTGTTCACAAAAAATATTCGATCCTGACGGGCAATCAGGATGAGCTCCCGGAACCGCATTCTTTTAAGGAACAAGCTTCCACAACATCTGCCCGGAGGCTCAAGTACTGGAATATCACGCAACATGCAGCACAAGATGGCCGCCCCTTCTACACCCTTCAACTTAAAATAATTCCGCCTTCTGCATGCGCAATCAAGTCTGTAATCTCCGACAACGTTCCGCGCCGTCGTGAATGTGCATTCATAAGGAGTCTAAAATGAGGAACACAGCAGCCACTAGACCATATTTCGTTTATTGTAGTATGTCGGTACGTGTAATCCACGAACTGTTTCATTCAAAGCAATCGTGCAGGAAACTTCCACTTTTCCTTCAAACAGTTTCTCCAGTCAACCCAGTTAACATTCGGGAATCGAAAACGTGCCAATGAACGGGTTTTGAACGAAGCGTGAAACTGTGAACGAGAAAGGATGTTCATCAAGTCAGGTAGGTAGTGTTAAGTTGAAAATCATGGAAATGAACTTCCTTGGACGAAGACAAAACTCATGATAACTCAAAATTTTCCAGAAAAACAAAATTGGGCGCGTAAAAGTATTGAAATTGTCAAAACAACGTGGAGAATTGAATGTTTTCTAATAAATTCATTTCGTCTTTTACAATATTACCACCGGGTATTGCAACTTAGTATTGGTTGAACGGATGGCTATCGAAAACTTCTTCAAAATACATAAGAGATAATAGCCAAAATGTAAAACTTATTTGCCTTTTTAAAAATAATTATTACACAGAAAGTAATATTTTCTTATGTGTTCCTGCTAAAAACGCTCGGTATTCATAATTCAACTTGCCTTTGGTTGAGGGTAGAGATTCCAGAACATAAAAAAACCAAAAACAATACACTTCTCCCCACGTTTCCGAACTCCGCGTTTGAAAGACAGAGCCCCATTCGCGAAACAGGCCATCGATGTTCCTGCGTCTGAACAATGGCTTGCATGTTTCCATTTCCCACCGATGCACTTTCTATTACATTCTCTGGGCGCGGCGAGTGGGCCGTGGGCCAGGCAGCGCTGACCCGGGTGGGCGAGAGGATGGGCGGCTCGCCGGGGCTGAGCGTGGACTCCCACGGTAGCGCGCCCTCTGGCGGGAGGCAGAGAGAAAGAGAGAGAATGGGTAGATGGCGGATGTTCGAGCCTGCTTCAACGGAGGCTCTCTGTTTGTGCGGCGTACGCGGAGGAGGCGACGAGCACAGAAATGCTTTTGGGGAGTGGGAGGAAGCTGAGGGTAGATGCACGACCGAGATGTAAAAGAAAGCTCGTAGAAATTTGCGAGTATGTAGGCATGCTTCTAGCACACAATACAATACAGCCTGGCTACTACACGCTAAAATTTACTTGAGTAATTTAATTAGCTTTGCTCTGCGACGTATTTCACGCGCGTCATAAGCAGATTTAAAGGAAGATGAAAAGGAAGTCAATCAGATGATTTTTGCGACCTGAAAACCAACTAGGAAATCAGGGTTTGATATTGGTATCTATATTCGATAGACACAAGTTCTTAATGAAGAACTAATGCTGTTATCTGCCGAGTTCTTTTTTTTTCACAAATAAGCACACGTGATAATGCTCCTGGGTCCAGAAATATGGTATGTGCTCTGTACTCCAAGTTAGTATTCTGAGGACGGCTGCTACACTGATTCGCTTTTCCTGTGATTCCTTCTAATCAATTACAGGAAGATACTGGAGCATCACCTCAAACAACGAGCCAAGTGATTGATTATTCTGCATTTCCTGGCGCATCAACTCTTATGCTGTAGTAGTTAGTGTCGTAACTGTAGTGCAAGTTATATCTCGGGAGGTGGCGATGTTCCTCCCCTGCTCGAACGAGCGATCCTGCGCCAAACTACATGTCAGATTCCGGGGGTTCCCTTCTCCAGATATCTCCTCCGGCAAGGCATAGCCCCGGGAAGAGCTCAAAGTTCCCTCACGTGCAGTAGTGTAGTACATGCAAGTGTGTGTGAATGTGTGTGTGTGTGTGTGTGTGTGTGTGTGTGTGTGTGCGAGCAAGGGAAAAAGACAACTTATGGATAAAGAAGACCATAACACGTTTGTTGAGATATTGCTCCGGCATTCGAATCGGTTATTGAGTGAAGAAGACACGTAAAACTACACATCAGAGAAGCCCACCCCCCAAAAAGTGGCTGAATGCGAACTGGCTGTGAAGGTAGCCAGTGTCGAAAATTTGCCGTCGTCGGGACACGAACCCTAGGAGCAAGGAGAACTCAACAGAAGAAGCAACCTTAGGAGAACTGAAACATGAGTTAAAGCAACGAACGGCAATGATCGCGTATCAACCTAAATACAGACCACGCATTTTTAATGCTGCTCAAAACGTCTACGCGATGGTAAAATCACACGGTTCATGAAGAATGTGAACCATGGAAATTGATTTGCGTCGTGGAGCATGTGGTGGGTGAGCGGTGAGAGGGGAAGTAGGAAAGGTGCGCAGCAACGCCAGCTTCCGCCAGAGGTCGCCCGCCAGCGCAGATCACCTCGCGATAACAGAAGAGGAACGCTGCCCGACGCTGAGCGAGGGCGCGGGGGGCAGCGGAAAGGTCGACTGACGGACGGAAGACTCGCTCGCGCATTAATAAAAGAATCGAAACCGCTCCGTGTGAAGGTATGAACGTTAAAGAGCAGCTCGATACACGAGAAAAATTTCTCCATAGGAAGTTGGGAGCAATAACTGTACTGAAAAGCTGTAGAGGTAAGAAAAGAAAAAAAACTCTGAAAAATTTGCTTGAGAACACATATTCGAAATTGATGATAAAGTGTAAAACATTTGGGGCAAATGAGTTAATAATTAAATTATATTATAAAAATTTAAAAAATGCAATAATTATTTACAAAAAATTATTACATAATAAAATGTTTTGCAGTTGAACTCTACTCACAAAAAAACTGTACATGAAACCAAACCCAACGAAATGCAATATTTATGAAAAATACGTAGAAGGAAATAAAAGTTCAACTGTTAAAACCAAAAGAATTTTTATCTGAAACAAACATGTAACTAATCCAAATTTATACATAAAACAATAATTAATTGAATACATGAGCCTAGCTGAACTAATAATTTGGCATATCTGAAGCAATGTTGGTAAATTAAAAAAATGATTTATTTATCGAAGCGGATACTCAAGTCGTCAAAAGGATATTTATCATCCGGTAATATGGTTTCTAAGGACTATCTCGCGATTGAGAAAATAATTTGACTTGTAACGAAATATCCGTGCCTCCTATGTGATGTTTTCACATTACATTCACCCGTTCATTATGCAAATGGGAGATAGTGAACATGGATTAAAAATCTCTCACGCAAAAATAGAACTGGAAACCATGGAGGTAATCTGCTGCGTTATGACACAACCTATTCGCCAGCTGATTCATTCGGGAAGAAAACTTTCGCTCTAATCATTTAAATAAACACGAAATTGTATTTTAGAATTTTAAATTACATTTTCTACTCGTTTTCCCTCAGTTTTTCGTATTGGAGGTCAGTATTCTTTAGCATTTCTAGCACATACTCCCTGCAACTCAACAAAATAAAAATTATTAGAGAATAAACCATAAACCATTAGGGAAGTTACCTTACAATGTCTAGTTCATTTCTGTCAGCTAAACAAAATTACACTTTCTGAGTCGTGTATGGTTATGTTCCTTGAAACGAAATACATTTTCGAATGGAGGCGATTACGAACGCCCGAATGAATGAATAGACACATGGCCGAACGAAAGAATACGATGATGATCCTGACCAGGAGGAAATTCAGTGAAGCTGCAGCGGAATGGTCAACAAGGGAGAGCGTCACCCCGAGAAATCTTGCTTTCCCACATGAGGAGGGGGGAAAACTGGTATTTGCAACAAGGTGTGATGGGTGGAATGGTCCATCATACCTCTCCAAGCCATCTTTTTACAAAGGGGGTGCGGCGTCCTTTGGGCAGCGCAGGCGGCCCACGGCGAGAGGGCAACGGCACGCGCGGGCGCACATCCCGTCCACCGTCGCCGTCTCCACTCACCACCCCCGCCCACGCCATCAGCGGACGCCGCCCCGCGTGAGTTATGAAGGCTGGGCCGCCGCGCCGTGCCGCGGCCTTTGACCCTGCGAGGGGGCAGCACCTGCTGCGCCCGCAGCCGAGCACGCGCACCAGTGCTTGAGGAAAAGGCTAACCCCCCGAACGCGGTGGGCGCCCCGCCCCTCCGTCCTCGCCGACGGCCGCTGTCGCTCACCCGCGCTCAGGCGCTCGCCGCACGCCTCCGCTTTCCCAACCGGTGCTTCCTAAGCGTTTTGTCATCAATCTCCTCGTCAGGGGGCGGATTGAACATTTTCTACAGGGAGGGCTAGGAATGTTAATAATAATAATAATAATAATAATAATAATAATAATAATAATAATAATAATAATAATAAGGGAAGAGAATAGGACGAAGAAAAGGAAAGAAACATCTCTCACGGTCCGTTCATGCGATTGGTGAAACCACAAATCAGATCAGTAGGCAGCAAGAATCCTCTTCCAAACAGCAACTGAACTTGTACCAAATACGAAACTCGCGTGGAAAATCCACTAATCGGGACTCGAACCCTTGAACCTCCCGGCTAATGATGCTGCAGAAGACGCCGCGACGGAGGCTTCGCAGCCGGTACCAGGCCCCCGAGAACGACGTCTTTAGCCGCCGCGCAACCGCGAGCGGCCGGGCTGTCCCGCACACGCCTCCCCTGTGATTAAACTTTGTGTACTTTTGGGCGGCCGCGCGCGCACTATTCGAACCGACCATAATACTCCTAATAAAGGGTGATGGGCCGCACTCAATGCGCTACTCATCAGGGTAAGGCCCTCGAGCAGGGCAATCAAGAGCGTTTCAAGTCGCGCCGCAACGCCGCGCCACCGTCGCCACCTCTGCCCAGGCGCTCCCGCAAGCGTCGTTGCCGTTGCCAACCGCGACCGCCAACACGTTAATAACCGCACTCAACCGCCCGAAGCCTTCACGCAGGCCGTCACTGTTGTCTTCATCATCATCACTATTGTTGTCATGAGAGATGTACTTTCAACCTGTGGGTGTTACTACCCAAATTATTGTAATCGCAAAGCTTTGCTCAGTTTATGAGCCCCAAGGGTTTCTACGTCTTTCTCATTTTTCTACTGACCAATTACATATTTAGAAACATAATTAAAATGTATTCATTACTTCATTCTCCAAACCCGGACCTAGCAGAATATATATTTATTGCACGGCCTCCATTTTATTTCGAATGCCGTTGTTTCGTCATCACAACATGAGAACCAAATATCAAATTATCACTGTGGTAGTCATCTATTTATTCCACTGTTCCACCACTGGCTTCAGGCTTACGATCTTGTCATCGGCATCTCTTCCTTCTTCTTTACCTACTTTTTTTTGACATCAATTCACGAATCATACTAAAACTGCCGAATGTTACGAACTTGGCCAACAGGGCGACTGCGAGTCTCCCCGCCTCTCCCACTCTCAACATCGCAGCTTCATCTCCGCTGCCAACTCCGCTAACGCACCGACTCAGCGAAATCTGTGTACCAACGCCTCCGAGTGGGCCAACCCACCCAATGTGTCCCGTCACCCGCACCTCCTCCACGACCATCGCATCGCCTTCGCCTCCGCGGAGAGGTTGCGATTCGACCGCATCCGATGTTAATTCTGCGGTTGCGCTCAGCGATCGCGCTGCTTCTTTTTGCGCGCGGCCAAACCGGCTGCCCGCGCCGCACGGGCCCCCAGACGCGCTCTGCCCCGGCCCCACCGCCCGCCGGAATCACGCCCAGACGTTCACGAAACCCTAGGATGGGCGGCGGTACGGTACAGGCGGAAACGGTACGTAAATTTGCAAAATTTTAGTTCTTTTCACGTAATTTTCGGTGAGTCATGTTAAAAAACGCATTTACAGGATTTCATTAAACCAAAAGGCTTAATTTGTTTCTTTAATGTTTTTCACAAATGGATCATCGGTCACTTAATATGGCATACTACGTCCTATTTTCAAGCCTCATTCAAACCTCTGAATTATCGAAATTTACAACAGTTCACGATTTTTGACACATTTCGTAATGCAATAAATTTCTCAATATTAGATCTGTATATCATTTTCAAATTTCGCACCCTTTTTCAAAAGTTACTTACCGTGTATGGATACTCCTAAGAGAATTTCAAGTGAATGGTTTGGGGCATCACCAAAGCAATAACAAAACTAACAAAAACCCAAATTATACTTCAGTAGCAAATTCAATGTCCATAAACTAATCTGTTTCACAAAACCTTGAAAAATGCAAATACGCTTACAATGCTTTTTTAAAATAGTTATTTTCATATTAAGTGATTGAGTGGGTAGTTCTTTCATGGTCGAGATTGATTTTTTCCTGAGAGTAGGTCCGTAGGTCGTTTTAAATTGACAAAAGATATTTCATATTTCTGGGAATAGCATTGTATTATATAGGCTCACGAATGCAGAAGCGTTACTAAGGGTCTGTACACTGCGTTATATTTCCATGCGTGATATACTGTTCTTTTTTCACGGTAACAGTTGTTTTGGCAACCGAGATACTTCACGTAATATTATCTTTTCAAATAAATAAAAAGAATTTAGTTATTGCTAAGAAGAGATATGTAGCTTCCTTCTGGTTATTGCTAAGAAGAGATATGTAGCTTACTTTATCACCACATACCTTTCACATTATATTACATTACAAACATTACATACGAGCATTACTTTCCTAAATCGGTTTCTAATTTGCATTCCTACAAACAAAGGCTTATGTCTTTTCTTACTTCGTCGCACTGGTTGGCGAGAATCTACAAAAAACAGTGTTAATTAGTGTTAAATTAAGAACAATTATCAATGTAAGTACATCAGTTTAAATCATTCTTCGAAACGGTTCTCCAACAATTCATACCGTCACAGTTTTCCATATCTAGTCACTCTTTCCAGGTAACTGGTATGTCAATTGTTCTTTCTGAAAGCTCATTCACATGAAACGAAATCACTGAAACTTGTCGCTGTCACTGTGAACCACTATAATAATCACTACCTTTCACGATGACAGGCAGCACACTTATCTTTTCTCATGAGACTTCCACCTGAACATTAATTATAATGCAACCTAAGTGGAAGTCGATGGCTTCCGTAATGGGCTGTTCAGTTCACTTTCAATCGACGTCTATATAATTGCTGACCTGTCACCTCTCCATTATCTTCCACACTTTTTAAATCTTACATTCTTTAATATATTAATTCAGATCAAATATCAATAACAAATCTTCTATCCTTATTACCAATTTATATACAAGAGTTGTACATTTATATTACAAAATAGTATTTTCGATTTTCATATGAGCAATTTTAAAACCATTGGTGAAGCATCAATTATCATAACCTTTCTGATTCTTGGAGGTAACGCGGAAGAAGCATATTGGTTCTACCTTCATGTGAATTATATATAGGTCAAAAATGAATAATTAATAAACGACTCGTGAGAAAACTCAGGGTCACGTATTGATGATAAATTATGAAGGAAACAAGAATAAATTATGAAGGAAGAGAAAGCGAAGAGATGTACGAGACTTGTCGCGAAGCAACTCCGCTAACAATCCTACGTCTTCCACAAACCTGAATTTTTAGTCTGGAACCAACGCCATCCACCTGCTTCATCTCCCGCACCCTGGGGGCGTTCCACTTCCATTTCCTTTACGACTCCCATATCACATACCTCACCACGCAGTGTCCGCTCCGACGCGGGTTCCAGGGCACGCCGAAAGAGTGTCGGCCACCCCACAGCCGGCGATTAGGCGCATCGCGGTCTTCTTTCTTTTTCTCGCCCGACGGCAGCGTCCTCCACTACCTCCTACTCCGGCAGCTCATTTGAATCCTCGTGCTCATACACACATACGCACGGACACACACACATGCGCGCGGCGCGTTACGACAGCCATAAACAACGGAGCGGCGGCGCGCGTCGAGTGATTGCGAGAGGCGCTCACCACATCGGCCCCAACCCCCGAGCATAAATCACCCGCTCCGCCCCCCGCTCTCTACCCGGCTTCTCTCCTCCCGCGTGTTGAACAAGCGAAGAGAGTACGAAGGTCGGCTAACTCGCGGAGGTGCAAGGTGGAGTCATAGTTTCTACAATACATCAGATATTATACTGACTTCATGATGCTTACACAAGACACATTTATGATAATTTCAGTATTTTTTATTGTAAATGTACATTTTCTATAACAATTAACAACATTTTATTCGCGGTCTATTGTATTCTTGGACAGAAAACATAAATATAATCTTCAAACTATTGCTGAGTTGAAATACCTCATTTGGATCGTTTGGTTTCGGCCCAATTCGCAACGAAAGGTAGAAGCAGCAATGAGAAGCTTTAAATTTTCTTTCTAATGCGCCGTATGGTCGGCGATCTGAAATTTCTTTTTGCGGTTCTCTTCTATTATCCAAAATTTGCAGTTCAAATGTAGGCGAAGTAAATGCTGAAGCAGACGTGGGAGATTACATCTACACGATGCTGATTGTGGCGCAGATTAAACCAACGGAATGTTCCAGGAGCAATAATAATGACGATACTAACAATTTGTATAATGATGGTCAATATCATAAAATTAATAACCAACAATGGCAGTAATCTATAAATAAAGGTAATAGTCAATTATCAAAATGGATAGATCAAAGACGGAGATAATAATGCAGGTCGCGATTAGATATAAAGAATGACATATTGTCTACAGTAATATGTTTCGATTGTAGAGATAGTGCGATACATTATGGAAGAGAAAATGTGTGACGACGACTGTAATGGCAATGGTAGTGGAGTGAGCGGTGAAAACGTCTCCACTTTGCGCCAGCTGTGCAGAAGCACCCGCAATGGCGACCACCACAGCGGCAGACGAGACAACAAAATTAAAGACCAAATTGCCACATCAAACAATGTCACAAACTCAGTAACTAGTGATGCAAAGCAGGAGGCACGTAATAAAAACTGTTTCGTAATAATTACATTCAGCAGCA